CCGAGCAGAGTGTGGGAACAAAGCATTTGAACATTTTTTCTAGAAAAATATCTCTTCATCTCCAAGCTAATGAGCTTTCCCACTTTTTAAGGCCTCCTGATTTCCCATTTGAGCAGGAGTCAGGGAAAGAGGAAATATTGCTAGAAGCAGAGTGAAAGTGGTCTTCCTCCTGGGTTGGATCCCTACCCTATTTGCGACTGTTCACTTACCAGCCCCCTCTGTGGTCACATCCTGTCTGATTGCCCCTTGTCCTGTATATCTTTGGAGATAAGCAAAGATTTGGGAACCAGGTATGACTTGTAATGTGATACCAGGCTAGTCATTCAAAGCTTTTTGAGACACCTTTGGACCATGAGTATGTGGAAAAGATTACAGGACTGGAAGTCACATCTTCTAAGTCCTCTAGTCCTGGCTTTTCCACCTATTGGGTAAGCCAACCTCTTTGAATCTCAAGTTGTGCATTGTTATTAAATATATAATTAGGAACGGAAAATAATCTTGCCAGAAGCCTTTCTTACTCTATTAGCCTGGCCCTCTCTGTGGGATTTAAATGTTGCCTCTTTCTCTAGGCCTGTGAACTGGGAGCTAGAGGGCAGGGGGAAGACACTGGGGTGGGGCCAGGATGAGCCACACTGCCCCTAACTTCTCCTCCCCTCTAGGCCTGAAGACCGGCGGTGGCACATCAGGTGGCTCCAGTGGCTCCTTTCACTACACCTTTCATGGGGACCCCCATGCCACCTTTGCCTCCTTCTTTGGTGGCTCCAACCCCTTCGATATCTTCTTTGCCAGCAGCCGCTCCACTCGGCCCTTCAGTGGCTTTGACCCAGATGACATGGATGTGGATGAAGATGAGGACCCATTTGGTGCTTTCGGCCGTTTTGGCTTCAATGGGCTGAGTAGGGGTCCGAGGCGAGCCCCAGAACCACTGTACCCTCGGCGCAAGGTGCAGGATCCCCCAGTGGTGCACGAGCTGCGGGTGTCCCTGGAGGAGATCTACCATGGCTCCACCAAGCGCATGAAGATCACAAGGCGTCGCCTCAACCCTGATGGGCGAACTGTGCGCACCGAGGACAAGATCCTGCACATAGTCATCAAGCGCGGCTGGAAGGAAGGCACCAAGATCACCTTCCCCAAAGAGGGTGACGCCACACCTGACAACATCCCTGCTGACATCGTCTTTGTGCTCAAAGACAAGCCCCATGCACACTTCCGTCGAGATGGCACCAACGTGCTCTACAGTGCCCTGATCAGCCTCAAGGAGGTGGGGCCTAGTCAGGCTGTGTGTGTGTGCTGGGGAGATGGTGGGGACATTCCCCCTCTTCCTGCCAGCTGGCACATTCTTTCCCCACTCAATCTATTTCCTTCCTTCCCACTCACCTTGCCCCACCTTTTCCTCACTTTCTGCTTCGTCTTCCCCAGGCGCTGTGTGGCTGCACTGTGAACATTCCCACCATCGACGGCCGAGTGATCCCTTTGCCCTGCAATGATGTCATCAAACCAGGCACCGTGAAGAGACTCCGTGGGGAGGGCCTTCCCTTCCCCAAAGTGCCAACTCAGCGGGGAGACCTCATTGTTGAGTTCAAAGTTCGCTTCCCAGACAGATTAACACCACAGACAAGACAGATCCTTAAGCAGCACCTACCCTGTTCCTAGGCTCTGCCCCAGCCAGTCCAGAGCCTACCACAGCAATACCCCCAACACTCACTTCCACTCAATGTGCACCCAGCTTGATGTCCACTGGACACTGGCAACTTTTTCTAAAATGCAAAAAAAAGCCACTGGTTTTCAGGAAAATGTTCCTGTCCCTGACCCCTTTCAGAGCTGGGCTGCCTGGGGGGAGTGGGAGGGAGGTGGGGAGAGCTAGCCCAGGCCAGGGGTCAATGTTCATGTCACTAGCTTTGAATCCAGTTTCCACTGCAGTGGCTGGAGAGTGACCTGAGTGCTACTTGAAGATATGTAGAGATTCCTTATCCATGCCTGTACATAGCATGTCCTTCTCCCCTCAGCTTTGCTAATACCAGTCCCCTCCCTTCCCTTTGGCTTCCTGCTGTTGGGGGCAGAAGAGAATAGAAAGGACATTGCTTTCTCAGCCCCACCCCCAGGTCCACAGTGTCCAAGGTTATGGCACACATATTCATGCACAAGAAGCACTCACCTAGAGCTGTCTGTGCCTCTCTGGGAGAGAGGAGAGGGGATAAGAAGGGAAGGTTCACAACCTGTGAACAGGGACTTGAGCACGAGACACTTTTCATCTGGAGCAGGGTGGTGAGCTCCTCAGCAGCCTCCGCAACAGCTGCCCTGCCTACACCCGCAGAGCTGGAGGTTCTGTCCTCCCTGCTGCTCTCAGGAGTGTTCAAGGGTGGAGGGCAGGGAATGGGGCCTGAGGTATTAAGGCTAAGAGGTTGGGGGCAGGGCCCATGTCCCAGCCTTCATTAGGAAGGGAAAGGGCTTTGGGGTCAGGTGGCAGCTATTCCCCACCAAGAGATTCAGGGTCACAGGTTTTTCCCCACACCTCTGAACTCAGGGCCTAGCCACCCCCAAACTTCCAAATCCCACTTTTGTGATATGTGAAGCTACTTATTTCTTACCCTTGGAGGCTGTGTGGGGAATTTCCAGCCCTTTCATGCCTGTGTGATCCCGCCCCACCCCCACAGTTGTATAAAGGTCATAGTGAAGGAGCTGGGGGAAGACTGCTTCAGCCAGATCCTGGGGTGGGGTCTTTAGGTTTTCTCACTTTGACAAGCCCCTGAATGTTTTTATAGTAGTTTTTTTGTATTTTTTTGTAATGACAGTATTATGTAAAAAATAAAGTATTTTAAAAATATGGTGTCTGAGCAGGAGCAACAAACCAGGGATGGGGGTGGGTGAGGAGGGCCGCTGTCACCCTCCCTCCCGGGCTCTGGTCACCGTTGAGAAGCCCAAGCAGGCCCTCAGTATAAGCTGAAGCTGACCCCTGCCTTCCTCTAAGCCTCCTGGGATTTCTAAAACATATGCTCCAAGCACAGCACAGACAGAAAATACCACTCAGCTATTAGAGGAAACATCTATTTGGGAAGGAAAAATATCCCTGCTCATGAGAGACAGAGACCATTGTCTTTAGATGCTCTAGCATGAAAACAAATAGATTTTCTCTTCTTGTCTAAATTTTCTCTGAGTCAGATAAATTTTCCTTCTAGGAGAAAATTTATCTTCTAGGAGGGGATGGAGGCCTTTTTTTTTTTTTTTTTTTTTTGAGACGGAGTCTCTGTCGCCCAGGCTGGAGTGCAGTGATGTGATCTTGGTTCATTGCAGCCTCCATCTCCTAGGTTCAAGCGGTTCTCCTGCCTCAGGCTCCCGAGTAGCTGGGATTACAGGCATGCGCCACCACACCCGGCTAATTTTTGTATTTTTGGTAGACATGGGGTTTCACCATGTTGCCCAGGCTGGTCTCAAACTCTTGACTTCAAGTGATCTGCCTGCCTTGGTCTCCCAAAGTGCTAGGATTACAGACATGAGCCACTGCTCCTGGCGAGGCTGAAGGACTTTCTGGCTAACTAGAAGAGACACATCCCCGAAGACAGAGCCTGGCCATTGGAGAGGGTAGCCAGAGGTACCTGGCCTCCTTGGCCCATGCTGGTGAGGCCTGGCTATGGACACAGACTCCCTGGGAAGCATTGAACACAGCTGCAAATCCTTGAATCTCACAGTTATCTGGGGATGTCTGTCCTGCCCTCTGACCTGCCCATGTCTACTGAGACAACTGGCCCTCAGGACCTGAGTGGTGGCTGCATGAGGGGGCACTTGTCCCTTTCCTGCGATCTGGGTAGAAAGGAGCCCTGTAGTTGCAGAAATGCCCATCTGCAGGCTCTGCCTAACCCTGGACGTCCTCCTGGGGCTGACTTTCCTCTGAGCATGAATCCCACATCTTCTCCAGGATCAGGCCATGACAGTCATGCCCTCCTGAGTGCCAGTGTCCCCAGTACTATCCAGATAGCACTGCCTTCAGCTGGGTCTGGCTAAAGCTGACACTAACTGGCTTTTTTCCCACAGTAAAGACACTGAACAAAAGCTCCTCATCCTTTCACCTGAGGTACTTTTGTACCTCCTTCGAAAGGAGGAAATGTGCAGAAACCAGAGGGTCTTGCTCACAAGGGTATCTGCTAATCCCCTGGCCTGAGCAGGGAGACACCCCCACCCTACATCCCCTACTCAATGCTCTCCTCCTCTGGGGCTCCTAGGGTAGCCTCTCTCTTGACTTGTGGCTAAATTCTTGTCTGGGATTTTTCCTAGGGCCTGAAGATTTGGGATTCTGGTCTGCTGGGCCAGACTGCTCCCTTTGGCCTCTGTGTGGACATAAAAGACCTGGGAAATTATCATGTCCTGCTGAGCCCACTCTGGCGATAAGATTTTTTTTTTTTTTTTAAAGACAGAGTTCACTCTTGTCACCCAGGCTGGAGTGCAATGGCACGATCTCGGCTCACTGCAACCTCCACCTCCCGGGTTCAAGCAATTCTCTGGCCTCAGCCTCCTAAGTAGCTGGGATTATAGGCGCCCACCACCACACCCGGCTAATTTTTGTATTTTTTAGTAGGCACGGGTTTTCACTATGTTGGCCAGCCTGGTCTTGAACTCCTGACCTCAGGTGATCCGCCTTGGCCTCCCAAAGTGCTGGGATTACAGATGTGAGGCACCGCGCCCAGCCAGGGATAGGATTTTGAGAGCCTAGAAGCAAGGCTATCTGGGGCAAGGAACACTTCAATGGGAAAGTCCTAAGGCTGACTGTAACCTTAACTGCAATTTGAACCTTACCCTTCTTAGAGGCCGCGTGAGGAATTTCTGCTATTGTAATGCCTGTGTAACCACCCCTAGAGACACTGAAGCATTCACAGAGCTGTAGAAAAGTCAAGACAGTAAAAGAGCTGTGGGAGAGACAAGTTCAATCTGGTCCTGAGGAGTTGGGGTCTTTTTTCTCACATTGATAAGCCCCTGAATGTTTTTATAGTAGGTGTTGTTTGGGTGAGGAAGAAGGGACAAGATGGAGGAAGAAGAACAAGATGGAGCAGTCCCTGTTGTTTCCGGGTTCTTCATCACAGATTTTCCCATGCCCGGGAAAAGAACCAAATCAACTGAGCATGAGCAGAGTGACGTCAAGCTGGGGACACCGAAATTCAAGAAGCCACTCCTACACACACGCCCCAAACTCCTCCCCTTCCAGCTCCCAGGCATAAAAGTCCTCTGCCGGTAAGCGCCGGTGTCACTTCTTCGGCCCCTGCATTTGTGGACCGGAGAACATCACCCGAGAACGCTGGCCCGACTTCCCTGGCCCCCCACACCTGAGGACCAGAGAACCTCACCCGAGAGTGTGTGCATATTTGCAACAAAAGATTGCCACTTTCTTACGTACTTTGGCCTCATGTTTAATTATTTAGCTCTCCTAAATTAAATTAAACAAAACAATTGGTGCCGAAACCCGACCCAGGAGGAGACCCTTCCTCAACATCCCCTAGGGGTCTAACGAACCTCCTCCACAGCGAACCGGCTCCCAACCCAACCAGCCACGAACACCGAACAAGTGTTCCAGCTTTCCACTGGTGCCGCTCTGAGAATTTCTTCTATGGTGAGTACTCCCCTTTGTTAACCATCGCCGTCCATTTCCGTGTCCTTGGCCTAGAGTCATACGTACGCCCAAGGACGTAGCCACCCTGTGGCGCAGTGAGGTCTTCAACTCGGAGACGTCCATCTTGAAGTTCCTCAATTCTCCGTTAGTGGCTCCAGGAGCCCCCGGTCTCCAGCAGCGGCAAAGGACGCTTTGCCACTGCATGAGGTCAGTTTCCATTTCTGGTGGTTAAACAATGGGAACCTCACAATCGAAAATCCCTACGAACACCCCTTTAGGGTGTCTCCTCCAAAACTTGGAAGCCTTACATTTAGCTCAAGATTTACAATGAAAGTGGCTAATTTTCCTCTCCACTGTGGCATGCCAAAAACCCGGGAGGAGACCCCTCCTTAGGGCCCCCTAAGGTCCGAGGAGCCTCCTCCTTCCACGCCGCGGACAGACCAGGACCTAGACATCGCTTTCCATACCTCCAAGTCTCCTAGGGGTGAGTATCTCTTGCCTCCCTCTCATACTCCTTGGCCAGAAGTCCTGCGCAGGCCCAAGGTTTTTTGGTCACCAGGTGACCCACAGGAGAGTTCCCAAAGGTAGAGACGTCTGCCCAAAGGAACTCCATTCCAGTCCGTGTGAGACCCATCCAGGACGGAGACGTCCACCTGGAGGTAATCTCCATTCCGGCTCCAGGAGCCTCCCAGTCTCTAGTGGCTCCAAAGGACGCTTTGTAGCCAGGTAGAGTTCGGTTTCCGCCCATACGCGAGAGAAAGGCAATGGGAAACCCCCAATCCAAAATACCTAGAGACACCCCTTTAGGGTGTCTTCTAACTAATCTCAAAACTTTACAATTAGAGCAAGATCTTAAATGAAGGCGACTGATTTTACTCTCCACTGTGGCGTGGCCACAATATAAATTAGACAACCAGTCTCAACGGCCGCCTGAAGGCACCTTAGACTGTAACATTTTAATTAGATCTCTCTAATTTCTGCCAAAGGCTCGGAAAGTGGTCAGAAATTATCTATGTTCAAGGCTTTTAGGACTTGCGCTCTCGCCCAGACCTGTGCGCCCGGTGTTAAATGGCCCAGGTCTTGTTAGCCTAAACCCCTAAACCCGGCCCTTGGCCCCCACCTCAGCAACTGAGGAGGACTCCACCTCCATTTCAGATAGGGCCCACAGCAGGCGACCTCCCTCCCGACTTTCCAAGCCCCCTCCCTATGGACTTCCTACCGCCCCTCCCGACGCTCCTCCTTCAGTCACTCCTCTCACCCCTCCCCATGGAGCTCCCACCGCCCTGCCCGACATCCTCCTTCAGCCACTCCTCTTACCTCTCCCATTTCCGTCCACACTCGCTCCAAGACCGCAGTAGCGGCCCCCATTAGTCAGCCCTCTACCAGTCAGCCTGCCCCAACCCCCTCTACCAGTCAGCCTGTCTTAACCTACCCTACTGGTCAGTCTGTTCCAACCTCCCCTGCTAGTTTGTTGGCCCCCCTCCCTCTGAGAAGTTGCCAGAGCCAAAGGCGTGGTTAGAGTCCACGTCCCCTTTTCCCTGGCTGACCTTTCCAAAACTGAAGAATGACTTGGCGACTTCTCAGCCAACCCCACCTAATATTCCAAAGAGTTTCGATACCTAGGCCAGGCATATGACCTTACCTGGCATGACTTACATGTCATTCTTACTTCCACTCTTAACCCAGAGGAAAGAGAGTGCATTCTCGCAGCCACCAGGCAACATGCAGACCAATGGCATTTAACCGACGCCACCATCCTGTTAGGAGAGATGGCTGTCCCGTCCATAGAACCAGATTGAGATTACCAACCGCAGCAACCTGGCCGCCGTAGGAAGGTCATTATGATTCAATGTCTCTTAGCCGGTACGCAGGCAGCCTCTAACAAAGTGGTCAATTTTGATAAATTAAAGGAAATTATCCAACACCCAGATGAGAACCCGGCTTCCTTCCTAAATCGCCTTACAGAGGCACTGGCCCAATTTACCCAGCTAGCCCACTTCCCCAGCCGGGGCAGCTGTCCTAGCCTCCTATTTTATTTCCCAGTCAGCCTCAGATATTCAAAAAAAGCAAAAAAAAGGTTGAAGATGGGCCTCAGACTCCCATACAGGAAAATTGGCCTTTAAAGTTTTTAACTCCAGAGAAGAAGCAGCTGAGGCCGCAGAGCTAGACAAAGAGAAAAGAAGGGCTGTGCTTCAGGCGCAAGCTCTAGTGGCTGACCTCCAACCAGCGTTGCCCACTCTGGCGGCAGGGAAGACACAGGGCAAGTCTCCCAAGGGCTCCTGCTATAAATGCGGAGACCCAGGACACTAGGCAAACCAGTGTCCCCAGGCCAAGCCGGCCACTCCGTCTCGTCCATGCCTTAAGTGTGGCATAACTGGGCATTAGGCAAAACTGTCCAAATCCTCGTCTGCCTAACATGTCGTGCCCAACCTGCCAACAGGAAGGACATTGGAAGTCTGATTGCCCTGCCAGCAGGGCAGGCATTGCGCCTCAACGTGAGGCCTCTCCTCAAAGGCTGGAAGGCTCCTTCCAGCTCCTACACCTGGACGACGACTGACGGTGCCCACACTCGGAGACCCTGGTCACCCTCACCGAGCCTAGAGTAACTCTACAGATAGCGGGTAAGCCAATTTCTTTTCTCGTCAATACGGAGGCTACCTATTCTGTTTTACAATTATCTTCTGTTTTGCCAACCTATGGAGGTCCTAGCCAGCCATCCACTATCTCAGTAGTTGGGGTAGACGGTAAACCGTCTAACCCTCGCCAGACCCCAATGTTAAACTGTTGCCTGGACTATGCATATTTTGCCCACTCTTTCCTCATCATGCCCTCTTGTCCTACCCCCCTCTTTAACCTAACTGAAAACATCTATTCCCCTTCCCTTTCTCCAGGTGACCAGGTTCTACTTAAGGATCAACACCCTCCTCAAATTTTCCCGCTTCCTCACCATTCTTCATCTTAACTTAACTGACTTTTCCTTCATAAACCCCATAGACACCCTCCTTCCCGACCCATCCCCCAACCAGTAGGTTTCCCAACTTTTTACTCTCATAGAAGACCTAGCTTGGCAAGGTGCCCTTTGTGATTTCCTAATTCCCATACTAATCCTCTGCCTTATGTTATGTCTTGCTCCCATTCTAATAAAATTTCTCCGAGCCAGGGTCCAAGAGATCACCCGAGTCACCTTCAACCAAATGCTCCTGCATCCCTACACCCAACTGCCAACCTCAGACCCTAACTACGCCCCTTAACAGCAGGAAGCAGCCAGACAGACCATGGTGCCCTAAATTCTTATAATCAGTAAGAGGTTGGACTGTTTGGGTGAGGAAGAAGGGACAAGATGGAGGAAGAAGAACAAGATGGAGCAGTCCCTGTTGTTTCCGGGTTCTTCATCACAGATTTTCCCATGCCCGGGAAAAGAACCAAATCAACTGAGCATGAGCAGAGTGACGTCAAGCTGGGGACACCGAAATTCAAGAAGCCACTCCTACACACACGCCCCAAACTCCTCCCCTTCCAGCTCCGAGGCATAAAAGTCCTCTGCTGGTAAGCGCCGGTGTGACTTCTTCGGCCCCCGCATTTGTGGACCAGAGAACATCACCCGAGAACGCTGGCGCGACTTCCCTGGCCCCCCACACCTGAGGACCAGAGAACCTCGCCCGAGAGTGTGTGCATATTTGCAATAAAAGATTGCCACTTTCTTACGTACTTTGGCCTCATGTTTAATTATTTAGCTCTCCTAAATTAAATTAAATTAAATTAAACAAAACAGATGTGTGTGTGTATGTGTGTGTGTGATTTTGTAATGATAGTACTATGACAATCATTTGCTCATCTTGTATGACAGTAATATCCTCTTTAAGGCTTGGCCATCCTGGATCTTGGGCAACCAACATTCCTGGCTGGGGAGTATTCCTTAGTCACTGGAGCCCCTTGACTACTCAGATGGGCATTTATCTCCTGGACATCTTCCCGTTGTGGCTTAGGAACTGAAGTCTCTTTGGAATTCCTGCCTCCCTGGCCTCTTTGGCTCTTAAAGAAATTCCTAATCTCCGATATCCTTTTCCTAAAGAAAAAACTCCAAAAAGATGCTATGCTCTGTGGTGAGCCCCTTCTGCCTCCAGGCACTGCTCCTCCATGGCCAGAGTCTGTTGGGATACAACTCCACTGTCATCCGTTGGGTATATCCTGCCTTTGTCTGACTTGAAGTGACTCTGGATTGCCTCTCTTGGCCCTCAAAGTCCCACTCTGACATGACTTGTCCATGGAGAGGGCAAAAGGAGCTAAAAAGTTTGTTTGCTGTCCTTGAACTAGGGTCCTCTGGACTTCCTTGCTTACAGTGGAGGAGGCAAGGACTCTCCAGGGTGGGGGCTGAATTCCTTGTGATTAGCTTTTCTCCTGACCTGTCTGTTTCTTTCAAGGAGCTAAGCAACCTCAATTTAGCCATCCCTGAAACATGGGTGGCTGAGGGATAAAGGTGGACTTGGGAAAGGAGCCATGATTTGGTCTCTATCACCTTAAGTTTTATGAATTCAGAGACTTTAAAGAGGTAAACTCTATCTCTGCCATGCTCAAAACCATACCACTTAGGCTTCTAGTGCCTGCGTAGCACCTGCATCAAGAAAGGAAAGCTTCCAAGAGGTATTTAGGCAGTGTTCCTGCACTAAGAGTGCCAAATTTCCAGTTTTCAAGTAGCTATAGGACTTCCCAGAAGGGAGTGATATATCACTGTCAGCAAGCCATGAACAATACACATATATAGGCCACCTGCCCAAGTGAACTTTCAGGGTGTTTTCCAGTTGCTTCCAGTCTAGGTTCTCTCTTGAATGCATTCATAAGTCGTTTCCTGACCCACTCCTTGAGTGATTCAACAAGTCATTTTTTTTGGTCTCCTCTGATGAATCAGCCCCCAAAACCCCTACTGGGTAGCTTTCTGAACGCCTTGATAGGTTACCTTTGGGACTTTTTCTCAGGCTATGCCTCAGACCCTTCCCTAGGTCATTCTGAAACTTGGCGGGGGCCCCTCATATGGAAGCTTCTTGGGTGCCCAATCAATTCTTCCTTAGACTCTTGCTGCCTTGACCCATAAATACCTCGAGGGCTGTAAGAATCTATGATTGTTCCTTAGCTGAGATGTATCTGTTATTTGCCCTGAGGCTGCATCAGCACCAAAAGCTCTTGCATCCTCTAGGCCAGGACCCACTAGTGCTACATGAGGCTCTTCCAAAAAGCGGTGCTCTAGTTGGTTCCAAATACTATTGCTTATAGGAAATTCTCTAGGAAGAATAGAAAATGGCCCATAGTCCTGGGAGGCCAGGCTGTACTGAACAAGGTTGGGAGTTGGAAGACAAAATGCTTCCTAAGATCTCTGAATTAGAGAGAGTAAAAGCTAGAAATTTTCAACAAATGTTGAGCTTCAGTTGGGGTGAGAGACTATACCTCATTCTGGGTCCTAGGAAAGGATACCCCAGAAGCCTTAATCTGGGGTGAAGAAGAAAGTAATAGGAGCAGGAATGAGGATTGAAGGTGGGCCCAAGGTAGGTGCTGGGATGAAAGAGAGTTTGGAGCTGGGGGAGCAGTGGAGAACCTTTAGCCTGTATTTAAACCAGAAAGTGAAAGTGGGCATTAGAGATTATACTGACTAAAACAAAGAGAGACTCCAGTGGAAAATAATCACCAGAAACCAGGACAGTAGCCACCAGGGCCTCACTGGTGAGACTCCAGGAGAGATGGCTCCATCCCCCAAGATTTTTGAATTTGGGAGCTGCTGAGGATGTGCAGCTGCTCTGGTTTGTCTTTGGTGCTCCACAGTGGTTGGGAGCCTATGTTGTCCTGTATGCCAGCAAGTGGCTCTAAAATAGTTCCAGAAAAATATACATATATACCCCTCTAGCAAAGACTGAGAGACTCATTGGGTGAAATCATTTAATGAAACATCTGTCCAGTCTTTGGCTAAGCTAGTCAAGCAGACACTTCAGGGGCCACATACAACAACAAAAATACAGAATTTACAGAATTATTAAAGTCACCACATGAGCAACAACAACAATGACAAATAGCAACAACAAAGCTTGGAGGGAAGGGGGAATCTAATTTCCAGAAATACCACATTATACTATTCTAAATGTCCAGTTTTCAATAACAACTATAAGACATGCAAAGAAAAAAAGAGAATGGCCTATACACACACGAGGGGAAAAAAGCTATCAACAAAAAGTGACCCTGGGGAATCCCAAACATTAGATTTACTAAAAAGACTATAACTCAGCTTTGAAAAAAATATTTATAGAGGCAGGGTCTCACTATGTTGTCCAGGTTGGTCTCAAACTCCTGGCTTCAAGCAATCCCCCCACCTCAGGCTCCCAAAGTGCTAGGATTACAGGTGTAAGCCACTGTGCCTAGCTAAATCTACTATTTAAAATTTGTTTTTAAAACAATGAAGAAAAACTTTGTCTAGGCCATGCAGTGGCTCACTCTGTAATCCTGGTGCTTTGGGAGGCTGAGGCAGGCGAATTGCTTGAGGCTAGGATTTCGAGACTGGCCTGGGTGACATGGCAAGACCCCATCTCTACAAATAGAATGAAATAATTAGCAGGGAATGGTGGTACCTGCCTGTGGTCCCAGCTACACAGGAGTCTAAGATGGGAAGATGGCGTGAGCCCAGAAGGTCGAGACTGCAATGAGCCATGAGCCATATTCACACCACTGTGCTCCAGCCTGGATGACAAAGTGAGAACCTGTTGCAAAAAAAAAAAAAAAAAAAAAAAAAAGACTAAAAAACTTAACAGAAGTGTGGAAATAATGGCTCACTCAATAGAACTTATCAATAAGGACGTAGAAATTACTTTTTTAAATAACCAAATAGAAACCCTAGGGTTGAAATGTATAATAACTGAAATGAAAAATTTGATAGGAGCTCAAGAGCAGAGTTGAGAAAGCAGAACAAAAATCAGTAAACTTGAAGGTAGGTCAACTGAGATAATCCAATTTGAGAAATGGAAAGAAAAAAGAATGATGAAAAATGAACAAAACCTATAAAACCCGTGGAACACTCTCAAGTATAAGAACATAAAAATAAATAACAAAAGCCTGAGAAAGAGAAGAGAAAGAGAAGGCATAAATATTTGAAGAAATAATGTTTGAAAACTTCCCAAATTATATTAATCTACACACCCAAAAAGCTTGATGAGCTCCAAGCAGGATAAATAGCAAGAGATCCATACCTAAACACATCATAATCAAACTGTCAAAGACAAAGACAAAAAGAGCATCTTGAAAGAGGGAAGAGAAAAATGACTTGTCACATACAAGGGATCCTCAATAAGATTAACAGCTGATTTGTCATCAGGAGCCATGGAGAAGGCAGGGGATGGGCATACTCAGAGTACAAGAGAAAAAAGTCTGCCTAGCAAAACTGTGTATCAAAATGGGGAGTTGGAGGAAGAGTATGGAGAAAAGCACTGCCATAGGACAGCTGAGACTATGGCTGAGAAGGTGTCAGTGGACAGCATGGAGAGGTAGGCTCTCACAGCAGCTAAGGAGCTGGCCACTTAGAAGCATGAACCAAGACTGCACAAATTCTGGGAGCTGCACCTGAAGTAGACTGAAGCTTGAAAATTAAATCACCAAGAAGTTGTGGAGGACGACAAAAGACTTAAAACTACCGCAAACTGGGAAGCTAATAAGGCTCATTTCAAATGGGAATTGCAGGAAGGAGAAAAAAAAAAAAGAATGTTCAGACAAAGACTATGAGAAAAGATACAGAAAGATGGGAGAGGAAAAAGAAGAGGAAAAACTCCAATCTGAGATTTTTACATTATGCCACTTCCGGGTTACACTAGTATCATTGGTTGACCAAGCAGATCAAACCTGACATAGAAAGATATCAAAAACTAAGAGACAAATATGGAGAGGAGTTCTACACAACATCCAACAGCCTTCTTCATGGAACATATGTGCCTTCCACAGAGGAAATTGATAGGACAGAAAAGCAAATTGAAAAATGAGACGAATATAGCTGGAGACACCCTTAGGATTATGATGCAGATATCAACTACTAAACATTTAAAGAATTAACACCAATCCTTCTTAAACTCTTACAAAAAAAATGAAGCAGAGAAAAACTTTCTAACTAATTCTATGAGGTTAGCATTACCCTGATACCAAAGGCAAATAAAGACATCACTAGAAAAGAAAATTACAGACCAATATCCTTTATAAATATAGATGATAAAATCCTCAACAAAATATTGGCAGGTTGAACTCAACAGCAAATTAAAAGGATCATTTACCATAACCAAGTGGAATTTGTTCCAAGAATGCAGGGGTGATTAAACATAAGAAAATCAATCCATGTAATACATCATATTAATAGAATGAAGGGGAAAAACCAAATGATCATTTCAGTTGACACAGAAAAAGTATTTAACAAAATCCAACGTTTTAATGATAAAAATTAAGAAAACTAAGAATAAAGAGACCATTTCCCAACATGATATAAAGTATTTATGAGAAACCCACAGCTAGCAGGATATCAATGATGAAATAGTGAAAGTTTTCCCCCTAAGATCAGGAACAAGAAAAGGATGCCTTGTTATTTAATATTGTAATGGAAGTTCTAACCAGAGCTATTCAACAAGAACAAGTAATAGAAGGCATCAGCTGAGAATGGTGGCTCATGCCTGTCATACCAGCACTTTGAGAGGCCAAGGTGGGAGGATTACTTGAAGCCAGGAATTCAAAACCAGCCAGGGCAAACTTTTCCTGAGGAAAAGTTTGGAACTTCTTAGAGATTGATTAAGTGGTTGTGATCAGAACGTTAATAGAAATATAGACAGTAAAGGCCACGCTTACAATGTCTCAATACAAATTAAGAACTTATTGGGAACTGGACCAAACCTTGTTAGCAGAAACAAAGAACTGGCTGCATTGTCTCCATGCTCTAGGACTCTGTAGAAGGTCAAACTTAAGAGTAATGACCTAGGGCATCTGGTGGAAGAAACTTCTAAGCAGCAAAGCCTTCAAGAAGTGCAGTGGCTGCTTTTACCAGCTTATAATCAGTTCCAGCAGGAAAAGAAAGACCTATGAACCCAAAATATCTGAGACAGGTCTCAAACAATTTAGAAAGTTTAATTTGCCAAGGTAAGGACACACCCATGACACAGCCTCAAGAGGTCCTGATGACATGTGCCCAAGGTGGTTGGGGTACAGCTTGGTTTTATACATTTTAGGGAGACATGAGACATAAATTAATATGTGTAAGATGTACATTGGTTCAGTCAGGAAAGGTGGGACACCTCAAAGGTGGAATGGGGGTGGGAGTGGGCTTCCAGCTTATGGGTAGATAAAAGACAGAAGGTTGCATTATTTTGAGTCCTTGATCAGCATTTCACTGAATACACAATTTAATCTGAGCCAGGCATGGTAGCTCACACCTATAGTTCCAACACATTGGGAGGCTGAGGCGGGTGAATCACTCAAGGTCTCTCAGGACCTCTCACTCTCAGGAGTTTGAGACCAGCCTTGGCCAACATAAAGAAACCCCGTCTCTGCTAAAAATACAGCAATTAGCCGGGCATGATGGCATGTGCCTGTAGTCCCAGCTACATGGGAGGCTGAGGCAGGAGAATCACTTAAACCTGGGAGGCAGAGGTTGCAGTGAGCTGAGATTGCACCACTGCACTCCAGCCTGGGTGACAGGGCGAGACTCTGACACAAAAAAAAAAAAAGAAAAAAAAAAAGTAGTCTGTCTCAGGGAATCTGCATTTTTACATACATAGTAGGGCACAGGAAGCAATCGGATATGCAATTGTCTCAGGTGAGCAGAGGGATGACTTCCTGTCCCACATCTGTGAAAATAAGCTATCAGTTTACATTGCCAGGGTGAAATTCAACAGAACTGTTTTAGGGTAAAGATCTTGAGGCCCACAAGAAATTTCCTTGTGGGCAAATTGTGAGGGAGGTATTTTTTTTTTTTTTTTAATCTTTGTAGCTATCTTATTTAGGAATAAAATGGGAGGCAGGTTTGCCTGACATAGTTCCCAGCTTGACTTTTCCCTTGGCTTAGTGATTTTGGAATCCGAGTTTTATTTTCCTTTCACATTTCTTCCATTTCTTTTAAAAATATTTCAGAAAGAGCATTTTAGAAGAAAATGAGTCTCCAGTCTCAGGTCTTTCTGATCTCTCATAGCTAGGATGATTTATTCTAGACAGGTAGGTTTCGCATTATTAGAAAAGCTCATTTTTAGCAGGTTGTAAAATATCATGTTCTAAGAAGAGAAAATAGGGAAAGAAAGAGAAAGAAAACAACAAACAAATGAAAAGATAGAGCCATTTTTCTCCGAAGTCCATACATCAGTAGGCAGGCATATAGGTTGCTGTTATTTTCTTCTGAAGCTTAAGTTGTGTAGCTTCAGTTCACAGGGTTTTAAGAAAGCACAGCATAACTTTTAGTGATTTCAAATCAGGAAAAATGGGAAAAAAAAAAAAAGAAAGGAAAGAGGAAAAAAATTGAAAATATTATTTTGAATACCTGTACCTCCCAAAAAATTTAAAATTCAGTCCAAACTAGAAAATAATAAAAATTGAAAAATATTAGGCAAGACTAGAATCTAATGACAGGTGCACTATAGTTCACTTTGAAAAATAATTTTTTCTCTCTCCAGTCCCCATTTTCACTAAACACAAACCACAGGACAAATTTATGCATAAAATAAGTATTAGTCTTATATACTTGGCCTGAGTATTTGCATGAAGTCAGCAAGAATAATTATGTGCTGGCCAGGTGCGGTGGCTCACACCTGTAATCCCAGCACTTTGGGAGGCTGAAACATCTGGCTCACTTGAGGCCACAAGTTCAAGACCAGACTGGGCAACAGAGAGAAACCCCATCTCTACTAAAAATACAAAAACTAGCCAGGCATGGTGGCACGTGCCTGTAGTCCAACTATTCAGGAGGCTGAGGCATGAGAATCACTTGAATCTCAGAGGCAGAGGTTGCAGTGAGCCCAGATCGTGCCACTGTACTCCAGTCTGGGCAACAGAGCAAGATTCTGTCTCAAAAAAGAAAAAATTTGCCATATAGGCTCTTTTTTTTTCAAACTGGCTTTGCTGGACCTTTATTCCATAAGAAATTTCAGATTAGACTTCAATGCCTCGAGCCTAGCCTGTGCCTGCAGATACCTGTATTAATTGGGTGAATTCCCAAGATAATTTGAGGCTCCTGGGTCTATCAGAAAATGACTTTTTTTTTTTTTTTTGAGACAAAGTCTCACTCTGTCACCCAGGCTGGAGTGAAATGGTGCAATATTGGCTCACTGCGACCTCTGCCTCCCAGGTTCAAGTGATTCTCGTGCCTCACCTCCCAAATAGCTGGAATTACAGACACATGCCACCATGCACAGCTAATTTTTTTATTTTTAGTAGAGATGGGGTTTTGCTATGTTGGCCTGTTGGCCAACTGGTCTCAAACTTCTGACCTTAGGTGATCCACCCACCTTTGCCTCCCAAAGTGCTCGGATTACAGGCATAAGGCACCACACCTGGCCCAGAAAGTGACATGCTTTACTTACCACAGGTCAGGAAACTGTACAGGAACTGTGTGGACAAGGCATGAGGCCAGCTTTCCCAAGGGGCTTTTATGGCTCTATAAGTCAACTTTGATTCCTTAAAGCAGTTGATTTATATCTGAAAGTATGCCATTCCAATCAAAGCCTTGGTAAAATAACCAGTGTCCAATTGTATCCTGTTACAAAAGAAAACAGATTATTATTGAACTTATGCAAATAACTAGACTGCCATAAATTAAGTATACTTGCAAATAGTTTTCAAATTCTGGAGAAATCAGGTAGAGGAATATGCTTCAGATTTTGCTCATGGGAATTTCGTTTACTCAGTTGTTAAAAGCTGTAAATCGCTCAAAGAAAAAGGGTTTTCTGGACTCAGAAACAAAAGAATTACCAATGTTTCAAACAAAGTCATAAAAAGATTATTTCAGTTTTCCATTAGTTTAGTCTGTGTAATTAACTCCAGTTCTACTCAATGTTTATGAACACATTAGCTGTCTATGGGAGTCTTAGACGTTTCTCCTCTATTCTAGTGTCACAATCTCCAAAGTTATCAGAAACCTGCATTCAAAAGCACCTATCAGAGTCATATAGCTATTTATAAAATCACCTTTTGAAAAGGATAAAAGTAGGCTGGGCGCAGTGGCTCATGTCTGTAATCCCAGCACTTTGGGAAGCTGAGGTGGGTGGATCACTTGAGGTCAAGAGTTTGAGATTAGCCTGGCCAACATGCAAAACCCCGTCTTTACTAAAAATACAAAAATTAGCTGGACATGGTAGCATGCACCTGTAATCCCAGCTACTTGAGAGGCTGAGGTGGGAGAATTGCTTGAATTTAGGAGGTGGAGGTTGCATTGAGTCAAGATTGCACCACTGCACTCCAGCCTGGGTGACAGAGTGAGACCCTTTCTCAGAAAAAAAAAAAGGATAAAAGCAAAACAACTGTGGATGACAAAACTCTTAGAACAGTCATAGTTAGACACAATTGACAAGGAAATTTGGTTACTTCTGTGGCATGCAACAATTTTACATGATAAGCATAATTACTACTGACAACATATACTAAGACTCATCCGAATCACAGAAATCTGAAGAATGGCAAATACCATTTCATATTTGACAAAACTTCTTGTATGATTTTATTATATCAAATAAGCCAAATATGTCTTTTTTTGCACTTCAGGGGACCTAATATCAAAAAAATTAATGAGAAGCAAAGTTAGAATTTGATTTTGGAAAGTTTGTCAAATATAACACTTGATATCACAAAATGGGATCATTGTAAAATATTGTAAAATAATTCATTAATTTAGCCAAAATGATAACTCAAATATTTCAAAAAGGAAAAAACTTTTATTCTTTGAGAAAAGAGACTTACTTTCCCAAACAGTAAGTCCTAATAAAGATAGCATAAGAACAATTAATCTCTCAACATTTTATAAACAGGCCAGGCATGGTGGCTCATGACTGTAATCCCAGCACTTTGGGATGCCAAGGCGGGTGGATCACTTGAGGTCAGGAGTTCGAGACCAGCCTGGCTAACATGGTGAAACACTGTCCCTACTAAAAATACAAAAATTACCCAGGCATGGTGGCATGTGCCTGTAGTCCCAGCTACTTGGGAGGCTGAGGCAGGAGAATTGCTTGAACCCAGGAGGTGGATGTTGCAGTGAGTTGAGATCATGCCACTGCACTCCAACCTGGGCAACAGAGCAAGACTCTATCTCAAAAACAATTATAAACAAAATCTATTAAATTTTAGTCATGTTGACCATAAGATATAATTTCCATAAACCTTTCTATAACCTGTATAACCTTTTATTAAGGAGTGTGTTAATGCTCTAAGAAAATGCTCAAAGACCAGCCATATGCTGGTTTTGCATCAATGTGCCTTTGACATTAATGGTTAGGTTTATAGAAAAACTGAACTAAGGCCGGGCGCGGTGGCTCAAGCCTGTAATCCCAGCACTTTGGGAGGCCGAGACGGGCGGATCACGAGGTCAGGAGATCGAGACCATCCTGGCTAACACAGTGAAACCCCGTCTCTACTAAAAACACAAAAAAAAAACTAGCCGGGCGAGGTGGCGGGCGCCTGTAGTCCCCGCTACTCGGGAGGCTGAGGCAGGAGAATGGCGTAAACCCGGGAGGCGGAGCCTGCAGTGAGCTGAGATCCGGCCACTGCACTCCAGCCCGGGCGACAGAGCAAGACTCCGTCTCAAAAAAAAAAAAAAAAAAAAAAAAAAAAGAAAAACTGAACTAATTTAGTCTCTCAACATCAGCCCTTACAATCTCATGCACCCACCTCTTCCACAATAATCCCTGAGCCTTGGGAGGTCGAATATTTTTAACTTCTGGCCCTGTGTCTCATGAAAGTAGTTTATTTTTATTGGCATCTTCTACCAGGTCTGAAGATGAGGCTTTAACTGCTGTCAGTATTTAAGATCGAGCAGGACTTGGTGTCCTTTTTAGACCCGAGAGTCAAACCCCATAACTGAATGGCACAAAAACATGAAAAGCACATACAGAAAGTTACACAGATGCAATAACCTTACTTTAGAATGTTTTTTAATTTCAGTTTTTTCTAAGCAAACCAAAACTTAATGATATAGGAACTATTTCAATAAAACATAAAATCTGTTAGTTAGGCCAGTTACCAAAAGGCAAAAGCAAAGAGCTTCTGCAGTGCAATTTCTGTTCACTATGAGGAATCCATTTAGATAATCTGCAAGTCAAAACTCAATGAAAATAGTACTTGAATTAGATATAGGAAGAATGTTTCCTGGGTCACAAGTAAAATTTTTCAGATTCATAGAACAATTTAAAGACAAGAGCACAGGATACTATGTTAGAAGAAAACATTTCCTTTAGATCTTTAAGGTAAAACATTTTTAGCAATCAGGCCACAACAAATAACTACAACCTCAGGGGAAAAAAACTTATAGGAGCTGAAAATGAATTGAAGGAGAGTTATTATTTCAGGCCTTTTAAAGGGGGAGAGAAAGCTGAAAACAGCAAAATGTAATAAAAGTTGAACTTTGGGTTAAAAATATTAAAATCTCTTGTAATTTTACTAAGAGTAAATCAATACCTCAAGAAAATGTTGCTATTCTAACCAATTCTTTAGTGTTTCTTTTTTTAAATCAAAACCCAGTCTCTAGAAAAACTATATAAATAGTTTCTCTTTAATTATAGACAACTTGATACAAATCATTTAAAACATGCTTGGAATTCCTGTTTTGTCTTAGATATCCCTCTTTGTTAAATAACTAGTCATTTAATTTCAGGACAAAATTTTATCACACAAGATTCTTTCTTACATAAAATTACTTTCCTTTTAACCTTTCTTGCCAAAAACAACTCTTTATATCTGTAACTTTCTTTACGTTGCTCATATTTACTGATTACCTTTATTTTGTTTCATAAATAACTTTTAAATAACCTTGGAATTAGACAAAAACTATGTTCCTTTAAATAAGAACACATTTCTTTTTTTAGAAAAATGTTTTCCTATAATTTTTTAAAAGGAAATGACCCAGACATTTAATGAATATTTATTACTTAACTTAATATAACTTTAGATTTTAAATTATATGGTAAGATTATTTATAAGCATTTATTCCATTACATTTACCTAATTAATTTTTTAAAATAGTTTAACCAGATTACTTATGAAAACTGTGATAGCTATCATTTAAAGTTATTTCCTTGATGACCAGCCCAGTGGCTCATGCCTGTAATCCCAGCACTTTGGGAGGCTGAGGTGAGAGGATTGCTTGAGGCCAGGAGTTCGAGACCAGCCTGGTCAACATGGCAAAACACCACCTCTACTAAAAACACAAAAATGAGCTAGGCCATAGTGGTGCATGCCTGTAATCCCAGCTACTTGGGAGCCTGAGGCACAAGAATCACTTGAACCTGGGAGGCAGAGGTTGCAGTTTGCAGTGAGCTGTGATCATGCCACTGCACTCCCACCTGGGTGAGAGAGCAAGACTCTATCACAAACAAAGAAACAAACAAACAAAAAGCAACAAAAATAAACTTATATTCTTGCTAACCATTTGTTTTTGTTTTTGTTTTCCTTCAACTTTTAAGTTCCGGGGTACATGTGCAGGATGTGCAGGTTTATTATGTAAGTAAACGTGTGCCATGGTGGTTTGCTGCACAGATCAACCCATCGCCTTGGTACTAAGTCCAGCATCCATTAGCTGTTCTTCCTGATGCTCTCCCTCCCACTGAGAAGTCCAAGTGTATGTTGTTCCTCTCATGTGTCCATGTGTTTCCATTGTTCAGCTCCCACTTACAAGTGAGAATGTGTAGTGTTTGGTTTTCTGTTCCTGCATTAGTTTGCTGAGGACACCAGCTTCCAGCTCCATCCATGTCCCTACAAAGGACATGATCTCATTTCTTCTTACGGCTTCATGGTATTCCATGGTGTGTATGTACCATGTTTTCTTTATCCAGTCTATCACTTATGGGCATTTGAGTTGATTCCATGTCTTTGGTATTGTGAGTAGTGCTGCAATGAACATACACATGCACGTATCTTTATAACAGAATGATTTATATTCCTTAGGGTATATACCCAGTAATGGGATTTCTGGGTCAAATGGTATTTCTGCCTCTAGATCTTTGAGGAATTGCCACACTGTCTTCCACAATTTACTCTCCCACCAACAGCATAAAAGCGTTCCTTTTTCTCTGCAACCTTGACAGCATCTGTTGTTTCTGGACTTTTTAGCAATCGCCATTCTGACTGGCATGAGATGGTATCTCACTGTGGGTTTTCTAGGGGTTTTGTTTGTTTTGAGGCAGAGTCTCACTTTGTTGTCCAGGCTGGAGTGCAGTGACGCGATTTTGACTCACAGCAACCTCCACCTACTGGGTTCAAGCAATTCTCCTGCCTCAGCCTCCTGAGTAGCTGGGATTTCAGGCACGCGCTACCATGCCCAGCTAATTTTTGTATTTTTGGTAGAGATGAGGTTTCACCATGTTGGCCAGGCTGGTCTCAAATTCCTGACCTCCAGTGATCTGCCCACATCGGCCCCCAAGGTACTGGGATTACAGGCATAAGCCACTGCTCCTGGCCTCATTGTGGTTTTGATTTGCATTTCTCTAATGATCCGTGATGTTGACCTTTTTTTCATATGGTTAACCATTTTTATAATCTGTGAATTTCAGATTTTCCTAGGTAAGAAACTTAAGATTAGATAAATGGTGTTTTGTTTTGTTTACCAATAATTCAGAATTTAGCTGTTTTCATTAACTAAACAATATTAAATGCCTTATATGTCAAGTTTTACATAAACAATTCTCTTTTGGGCTACGTTCATAGCTGTACAATCTTCATGCCAAATGTTGACATCTAGCAGAGATAAATATAAAACCACTTGACAAATAAATCTAAACAATAATGTATGTTGACAATTCTGAAGCCATTTCTAATTCTACTTCACCAGTATTTTTAAAAACAGCTTATTTATTAAAGATTTACTTAAGTCGAGGCTGGGCATGGTGGCTCACGCCTGTAATCCCAGCACTTTGGGAGGCCGAGGCAGGCAGATCACGAGGTCAGGAGATCGAGACCATCCTGGCTAACACAGTGAAACCCTGTCTCTACTAAAAATACAAAAAAAATTAGCCGGGCATGGTGGTGAGCACCTGTAGTCCCAGCTACTCAGGAGGCTGAGGCAGGAGAATGACGTGAACCTGGGAGGTGGAGCTTGCAGTAAGCCAAGATTGCGCCACTGTACTCCAGCCTGGGGGACAGAGCGAGACTCCATCTCAAAAAAAAAAATTTACTTAAGTCACATGAACTTGAAAAAGCACTTGGTTTAAAGTCTTGATTTTTTTCTAGTAAAGTATTTGATTTAAGTGCTCCTCAATTAATTAAAGCTCTTTTATATATTTTTAGTAATGAAACATCATATACATGACACATAAATATGTAGATGTATTAGACATGCAGGTAGAAGTAGATCTTACAGATTTATAAGACCTCTTTTTTCCTACTTTAGACTTCCAAATTCCTTTCTTTTTTTTTCCTCTTTTTTATTTTTATTTTTTTTTTTTGGCAGCAAAGAAAGAGTTTAATAATCACAGGGCTAGCCAAGTGGTAGTGAAATGGGAGGACTTTTCCTTTATCCCCCTTGCAGGGTATGCAATGTGGTTGTGGCTTGCTTCTTCAGTGCCTCCATGCTCAAACACCCAGGGGGAGCATGCAGACAGGCAGGCTGTGGGGAGCATGGGCTCCAACCCTATGACAGTGTCTAGGGTTGAGTGTTTACAGCTCCCAAAGCCCCAGTGGGCATGTGTTACAGCGTGCTCTTTCAGCTTAGCTGTCCACAGGCCGACTTGTGTTAATCAGCCCAATTAGACCCTCAGCTTTATCACAAGGACAGAGGGCTTTCTGCATTCCCAGGGGTTCTTACCCTAGTGTACCAGAACAACTGGATCACACATGGTCTTTGTCACATGTGTCCATATGAAGAGACCACCAAACAGGCTTTGTGTGAGCAACAAGGTTGTTTATTTCACCTGGGTGCAGGTGGGCTGAGTACGCAAAGAGAGTCAGCAAAGGGTGGCGGGATTATCATTAGTTCTTATAGGTTTGGGGATAGGTGGTGGAGTTAGGAGCAAGGTTTTGCCGGCAGGAGGTGGATCTCACAAAGTACATTCTCAAGGGTGGGAAGAATTACAAAGAACCTTCTTAAGAGTGGGGGAGATTACAAAGTACATTGATCAGTTAGGGTGGGGCAGAAACAAATCACAATATTGGAATGTCATCAGTTAAGGCTATTTTCATTTCTTTTGTGGATCTTCAGCTGCTTCCGGCCCTCTGGATGTATACATGCAGGTCACAGGGGATATGATGGCTTAGTTTGGGCTCAGAGGCCTGATATTCCTGTCTTCTTATATTAATAAGAAAAATAACATAAAATAGGGCTGAAGTGTTGGGGCAGCAAAAATTTTGGTGGGGTGGTATGGAGAGATAATGGTCGATGTTTCTCAGGGCTGCTCTGAACGAGATTAGGGGTGCCGTGGGAACCTGGAGTGGGATAGATTAAGCTAAAGGAAGATTTTGTGTTAAGGGGTGATATTGTGGGGTTGTTAAAAAGAGCATTTCTCATATAGAATGACTGGTGAGGGCCTGGATGCAGTTTTGTATGAATTGAGAAACTAAATGGACGACACAAGGTCCGGATTAAGAGAAGGAGCAAAACAGGTATTAAATGACTAAGAATTGGGAGGACCCAGGATATCCAATTAGAGAGCGCTCAAGGGGGTTCAGCATAATTACTGGCTTGGTTGGTGAGTTATTGGAGCTCTATCCTTGACAGAGTCCTCCTTTTTAAGTTGGAGGCTGAGATTGGTGGATGTTTTTTTAAAAGACTGTTAGTCCATTCTACCTTTCCTGAAGATTAAGGATGGTAAGGGGTATGAAGGTTTCACTGAATACCAAGAGCCTGAGAAACTGCTTGGGTGATTTCACTAGTAAAGGCCGGTCCATTATCAGACTATATAGAGGTGGGAAGCCCAAACCAAGGAATTATGTCTGACAGAAGGGAAGAAATGACTGTGGTGGCCTTCTCAGACCCTGTGGGAAAGGCCTCTACACATCCAGTGAAAGTGTCTACCTAGACCAAGAGGTATTTTAGTTTTCTGACTTGGGGCATGTAAGTAGTCAATTTGCCAGTCCTTGGCAGGGGCAATTCCCTGAGCTTGATGTGTAGGGAAGGAAGGGGACCTGAACAATCCCTGAGGAGGAATAGAATAGCTGACGGAACACTGAGAAGTGATTTCCTTGAGGATAGATTTTCACGATGGAAAAGAAATGAGAAGTTCTAAGAGGCAGGCTAGCGGCTTGTAACCTACATGGAAGAAGCTATGAAATGACAACGGAATAGAATGGGCCTGTGAGGCTGGAAGGAGATATTTTCCTTGGTCTAAGAACCATTTGCCTTGTGTTGGAAGAGATTGATAGGTGGAAGTTTCAGTGGGGGAGTAGGTGGGAGTGACCAATGAGAAGGAGAAAAACTGGCCATGAGGGACAGAAGTTGGAACGCTAGCTGCTTTTTTAGCTACCTCATCAGCATAAGCATTGCCCTGAGCGATGGGATCTGATGCATTTTGATGGCTCTTGGAGACTCTAGCTTCTTTTGGAAGTAAAGTGGCCTTGAGAAGAGTTTTTATTAAGGAGGCATTAATGATGGAGGACGCTTGCATAGTGAGGAAACCTCTTTCTGCCCATATAACAGCATGGTGGTGCAGGATATGGAAGGCATATTTAGAGTCAGTATAAATATTGACACGTAGTCCCTTTGCAAGGGTGAGGGCTCGAGTTAAGGCAATGAGTTTGGCTTGCTGAGAGGTAGTGGAGGGGGGCAGAAAGTATATGCATCAGGTGTGAGGAAGAAAATAGATTTTGGAAGTTATGAGAACTGTAGAGAGTGAGTTAAGCACAGTTTGTGATTTTGAGGGCCTCTAAAAGTATTAAGGCAGCAGCAGCCACTGCACACAGACATGAGGGCTAGGCTAAAACAGTAAGGACAAGTTGTTTGGATAAAAAGGCCACAGGGTGCAGTCCTGGTCCTTGTGTAAGAATTTCGACCGCATAGCCCTGAACTTCAGTTGTGTGTAATGAAAAAGGTTGGGATGACTTAGGGAGAGCTAGTGTGGGAGCAGCTTTTAGGGCTGTTTTTTAAGGAATGAAAAGGGGAGTGGGGAAAGGATTTAGGATTTATAGGGTCAGCTAGGTTTATCTAGAACAGAATGGGCTGTGGAGGAAGGTATTGAGGATAGGAGAGTCTATGGGTTTGGCATCATGGGGTGGATAGGCAAAACAATTTGGTTGATAAGGTGCAGAGCCTGAACTAACCTGTAAGACTTGTCCAGTTTTTGGACAGGTAAAATGGGGGAATTGTAAGGAGAGTTCATAGGCTTTAAAAGGCCATGCTGTAACAGGCAAGTGGTTACAGGCTTTAATCCTTTTAAAGTGTGCTGTGGGATGGGATAGCAGCGTTGAGCAGGGTAAGAGTGATTAGGTTTTAATGGGATGGTAAGGGGTGCATCATCCGTCACCAAGGAGGGAGTAGAGGTGTCCTATACTTGTGGATTAAGGTGGGGAGACACGAGGAAAGGATGCAAAAGAGGCTTTGAACTGGGGGAAAAGGCAGCAGTGCAGCGTGGCTGTAGCCCCGGAATAGTCAGGGAAGCAAATAATTTAGTTAAAATATCTCAGCCTAATAAGGGAGCTGGGCAGGTGGGGATAACTAAAAAGCAGTGCATTAAAGAATGTTGTCCAAGTTGGCACCAGATTTGGGGAGATTTAAGAGGTTTAGCAGCCTGGCCATCAATATGAACAATGGTTATGGAGGCAAGGGAAACAGGCCCTTGAAAAGAAGGTAATGTGGAGTGGGTAGCTTCTGCATTGATTAAGAAGGGGACGGACTTACCCTCCACTGTACGAGTTACCCAAAGTGTCTGTGATGGTCCAGGAGGCTTCCAAGGCCATCGGGCAGCATCAGTCTTCAGTCAGTAAGCCAAGAAGATCTGGGAAGCCATCAGTCAGAGCCTTGGACCAGTTGGATAGTCCAGTTTCCAGTGGGGTCCTGCACAGATGGGATACAGCTTAGGAGAAATCCTGGGCTGTGGGCATTCCTTGCCCCAGTGGCCAGATTTCCAGCACTTGAAGCAAGATCCTGGGGGAGGAAGTCCTGAAGGAATGCCTGACCACTGTGGCATAGGGGTTTTGAAGTATTTGTGTGCTGGAGAAATGGCTGGGGTTTCTCTCACAGATGAGGCAAGTAGTTACAGCTCTTTAATATTGTACACGTTGAAGGCAAGGTTAATTAGGTTTGAAGGCCGGAATCTACTTTTTGGAGCTTTTTCTAATGTCAGGAGTGGATTGGGTAATAAAATGCATATTGAGAATAAGATGGCCTTCTGGCCCCTCTGGGTCTAAGGCAGTAAAGCATCTAAGGGTTGCTGCTAACTGGGTCATGAACTGGGCTGGGTTTTCATCTTTACCTTGGGTAGTTTCTTTAAGTTTGTCATAATTAACAGCTCTGTAAGCTGCCTTTTTAAGCCCTTCAACTAGGCAGGAAACCATGTAATCTCACCTAGCTATACCTGGGGAATCTGCCTGATAGTCCCATTGGGGATATTCTCAGGGAACTGCTCTAATGCCTTCCTGGAGATCTGGGTATGAAGCCAGTGGTTATCAGCGTGAGATTGGGCTAGAGAAAAACCTCTTTCCCATTCACCTGGGGAGAGGGTAGAAGTTAGGTGACATTTAAGTCACTCCAGGTTAAATTGTAGGACAGAGTTAGATATCGGAATTCCTGTATATATTTACTGGGGTCTGATGAGAAAGAGCCTAAACGCTGGCTGATTTGGGAAAGGTCTGATAGAGAAAAAGGCACATGTACCCAAACTATGCCTTCAGCTCCAGCCACCTCTCTAAGAGGAAACTGTCGGCCAGGTGGGGGAGAGCTAGTCGCAGAACGAAACTGTAAAATGGACCCGGTGTGAGGAGAGGGGGTGATAAAAGGATTATAGGGTGGGGGAGCAGAAGCTGAGGAAGAATTGGGACCTGGCTCAGCCTGGTGAGGAGCAGCCTGGGGAGGAGGGGAAAGGTCAGATGGGTCTGTAGAAAAGGAGGATTCAAAGGACTCAGAGCTTGGGGTGGAGACTGAAGAAACAGACAGGAGAGAAAGAAGAAAGATTTGGGATGAGTTTCATTGGGAGCAGAGACTAGGGAGGGACCAATGTGTAAAAGAATGCCTGGACATCAGGCACCTCAGACCATTTGCCCATTTTTCGACAAAAATTATCTAGATCTTGTAGGATAGACAAATCAAAAGTGCCATTCTCTGGCCACTTGGAACTACTGTCAAGTTTGTACTGGGGCCAAGCGGTATTGCAGAAGAAAATAAGGCGTTAAGTTTTAGGTCAGGTGTGAGTTGAAAAGGTTTTAAGTTCTTGAGAACACAGGCTAAGGGAGAAGAAGGGGGAATGGAGGGCGGAAGGTTGCCCATAGTGAAGGAGGTAAGTTTAAAGAGAAAGGTAGAGACATGGAGAAGGGGGGTGGGGAGCAGCCCTGGGCTGCAATGTGGGTGAGCAGCCAAAGCAGGCATCCCCGCAATTGACTTGCCACCAGGGGAATGTGGGTGAATGACCAAGGCAGGCATCCCCACAGTGATCAGACACCAATGGAGTGTGGGTGAATAATCAGGCAGGCGTCCCCGTAATGATTAAACACCAAGGTAAGTCTGTCTTCCCGAGTCCGTGACCAGCGCCGGAGTTTTGGGTCCACGGATAAAATGTGTCTCCTTTGTGTCTACTAGAGAGGAAAAAGAACTGGAATTGGAAAGATAGGGAGATTGAAGGGTAGTGAGAGAGGCTGGAGAAGAGAGTGAAAAGTTCGCTTACACAATTTGAAATTGGTGAGATGTTCCTTAGGCTGGCTGGTCTGAGGACCCAAGGTTGTAGGTGGATCTCTTCACGGAGTGAGGGTGAGGACAGGGGACTGGTCTCCTGAAGGAGTCCCTCTGACCTGGGTCTTCGGCACTAAATGTCTCTTGTGTCCATGTGAAGAGACCACCAAACAGGCTTTGTGTGAGCAACAAGGCTATTTCACCTGGGTGCAGGCGGGCTGAGTCCGAAAAGAGAGTCAGCAAAGGGTGGTGGGATTATCATTAGTACTTACAGGTTTTGGGATAGGCAGTGGAGTTAGGAGCAATGTTTTGCCGGCAGTGGGTGGATCTCACAAAGTACATTCTCAAGGGTGGGGAAACTACAAAGAACCTTCTTGAGGGTGGGGGAGATTACAAATAACCTACTTAAGGGTGGGGGAGATTACAAAGTACATTGATCAGTTAGGGTGGGGCAGAAACAAATCACAATGGTAGAATGTCATCAGTTAAGGCTATTTTCACTTATTTTGTGGATCTTCAATTGCTTCAGGCCATCTGGATGTATACGTGCAGGTCACAGGGGGTATGATGGCTTAGCTTGGGCTCAGAGGCCTGACAATTATTATGAGGCTAGACCATGTGATGCTTTTACTGTGCACTTTTTTTTTTTTAACAAAGACATTTATCTAAGTGTCTAAACTACACTCTTCCTTGATTTAAACACCCAAGAGTAACTGAAAGGACACAAAAACACAAAGACTTACCTACCCCCTTGCTCCCTATGGTTACACCCTTTGTTCTGCTTTTGCTTTCTTATCTCTGCACGTACCAGAGGTTTCGAAAGTTCTGTAAGTACCTGTTTTTTTTCCCGGGGGTTAAGTCACAAGACATGTTTAAGTAAGATAAACCCCTGCTGCCATAAACTGGTTGTGCAACCTGACGCAATATGATTAACTGCCTTTGTGTAGAAACTGCTCTTCCGTCTCAAATGTTGAACTGAAATACCCAAAATGGCGGGAACCAATCATAACTAGCCAAATCGCCTTGTTTACATACCAGCCAATCATACATCTGATCTGTATAGTGATTCAATGACCACTTTTCTTAGACTATATAATACTGTGTAAAACTCTGGGAGGGAACTCTCTCTCTCTCTCTGGACCCTCTCATGCTGAGAGTGAGTGGGAGTTCCGGGTTCGAACCTGTAATAAAGATCCTTGCTGCTTAGCTTTGACTCTGGACTCTGGTGGTCCTCTTCAGGGAATAAACGGTCTGGGCATAACAAATGGGGGCTCGTCCGGGATTTCCCCCAAGCCCACCAGACCCCCAAGTCAATGGATCTTAATCTGTAGGTAAGCCGGCTTTGTCACTGTCTCTGTCTTTGTCTCTGTCTGTCTCCCTGAAATTTCGCGAAATCCGTAATCTGTAATCTGTATTGGTCTGTTCTGTAAGTGGCACGGTCTTGGCGGACGCGCTAAAAGACAGCCACTCGGGACTGGTGGGAGACGTCCCCCAGTGCCCATCTGGGGGCCTCCATCCTTGGTTGCCCCGTCTGACTCAGGTCGGAAGTCCAACACGCGCTCGCGAAGGCTCATCGTTTATCACTGTCTGTCCGTTATTGTTAAGTGTTAAGTGTAAGTCCAAAATGAAATATAAAACCTTTTCTTCCCCTTCCAGGACCGGACCTGTCGGATACTCCCCTCTGCTTCACACTCATTTTCGTCCCTCCTTCTCTTTGTAGGAACAGTCCAAACAAAAAATGGGTAACAACCAGAGCACGCCGCTCTCACTCCTTGTCGCCAATTTCAAAGATGTGAAGGCTCGGGGGCATAACTTAAGTGTAGAACTAAAGAAAGGAAAGCTAGTTACTTTCTGCCATTCGGAGTGGCCCTCTTTCGGCGTCGGGTGGCCCTCCGAAGGAACTTTCTATCTCTCTATTATTACTAAGGTAAAAACTAAGATTTTCCTGCCAGGGCAGTCAGGACATCCTCATCAAATTCCTTATATTATAGTGTGGCAAGATCTCGTGGAAAACCCACCGCCCTGGATAACTCCATTCATCCCTGAGCCCTGCAAGGTCCTAGTAACACGACCTACAAGACAAAGGACTCCCTCTGCTCCCCCAGCCCCTGTGCTGCCGGACAGCCAGGATCCCCTAACATTAGAACCCACTCTCCCCCCACCGTATCCGCACCTAGTCCCACAGGACCCAGTCCCCCAGGGTGGCGCTTCTGTAGAGGGGAACCAAGAAGCGGAGGCAGCCGAGAGTGAAAGTAACCCGGGGGGGCCGGCCGGCCGAACGCGAGGCCGCGTACAGCGGAATCAAGCTTCCCGACTCCCTGACTCTACTGTAGCCCTGCCTCTCAGAGAAATAGGATTGCTCGATGATACCGGACTCTCCCGTCTGACATATTGGCCTTTTTCCACTAGTGATCTATACAATTGGAAGTCCCAAAATGCTCGGTTCTCAGATAATCCCAAAGATCTAACCTCGTTGTTGGACAGTGTCATGTTTACTCACCAGCCGACCTGGGATGACTGTCAACAGTTCCTCCGAATCCTGTTCACAATGGAGGAGTGGGAAAGAATCCAAGTTGAGGCCAGAAAGTTGGTTCCAGGAGATGACGGCCAGCCAACTGCGAATCCTGACCTCATTAACGTGGCTTTTCCCTTGACCCGACCCAGATGGGACTACAACACGGCAGAAGGTAGGGGACGACTGCTCATTTATCGCCAGACTCTAATGGCGGGTCTCTGGGCTGCAGCTCGCAAGCCCACCAATTTGGCTAAAGTATATTCTGTGTTACAAGGTAAGACAGAAAGCCCCACTGTGTATTTAGAGAGGTTAATGGAAGCCTTCAGACAGTTTACCCCTATGGACCCGGAAGCACCGGAAAATCAGGCAGCGGTAGTAATGTCCTTTGTAAACCAGGCAGCACCAGATATTAAAAGAAAACTCCAGAAATTAGAGGGTTTAGAGGGAAAGCAGATTCAGGACCTCCTTCAGATAGCCCAGTGAGTTTATAATAATAGGGATACTCCAGAAGAAAAACAGTTCAAGGCAACCAAAGAAATGACTAAAGTCTTAGTAGCAGCTTTCCCCCAGGCAGGGAATGGCCAAAGCAGGAAGCAGAAAAAGCAAGGCTCTAGGCAAGGATTAGAAAAGGATCAGTGTGCTTATTGCAAGGAACGTGGTCACTGGATTAAAGACTGCCCAAAGAAATGGGGACCAGCTAACCCTACCTCCGTACTCATTACCCAGGACTCTGACTAGGGAGGATGGGGTTCAGACCCCCTCCCCGAACCCAGGGTAACTTTGCAAGTGGAGGGGACCCAGTTCGCTTCTTGGTCGATACTGGGGCGGAACGCTCAGTCCTAACCAAACCAATTGGAAAAATGTCTAAGAAAACATCCTGGGTGCACGGGGCCACAGGCATCAAAAAATACCCCTGGACAACCCAGAGGACTATAGACTTAGGAACGGGAAAAGTTTCCCATTCCTTCCTAGTCATCCCAGAGAGCCCCTGCCCTCTACTAGGGAGGGACTTGCTGACAAAGATGGGGGCCCAAATCCACTTTGAGCCAGAAGGGCCCAAGATAACTGATTCCCAAAATAGGCCAATATCTATCCTGACTGTCACCTTAGAAGATGAGTACAGACTCCATCAAGAGCAGAAGCCCCCCGATCAGGAAATTGACTCTTGGCTCCAGCGTTTCCCTGAAGCGTGGGCAGAAACTGGGGGCTTGGGGCTAGCTAAACATCGACCTGCCATATTTGTGGAAGTTAAGCCAGGGACGGACCCGGTTCGGGTTCGGCAATATCCTATGCCCCTGGAGGCAACAGAAGGAATTGCGCCCCATATCCGCAGACTCCTAGACCAGGGAGTCCTACGGGTTTGCCACTCATCCTGGAATACTCCACTGTTACCTGTCCATAAACCCAACAGTACGGACTACAGGCCAGTACAGGATTTAAGAGAAGTTAATAAAAGGGTCATAGACATACATCCCACTGTGCCCAATCCATACACCCTTCTGAGTGCCTTACATCCCGAAAAACAGTGGTATACCGTTCTTGATCTAAAAGATGCTTTCTTCAGCCTTCCTCTGGCTCCCAAAAGTCAAGAGCTCTTTGCATTTCAATGGACGGATCCTGAGAGGGGCATCAACGGTCAGCTAACATGGACCAGGCTGCCACAAGGGTTCAAGAACTCGCCAACCCTGTTCGATGAAGCCCTTCATGAAGATCTGGGTGAGTACCGGTGGCAACACCCTGAAATAACTCTTTTGCAATATGTTGATGATCTCTTAATAGTGGCCAGGTCCCCGGAAACTTGTGTTCAAGGGACTGAGGACCTCTTGAAGACTCTGGGGGAGCTAGGCTACCGAGCCTCAGCAACAAAGGCTCAGATCTGCAAGTCGGAGGTAACTTATCTAGGGTACCTATTAAAAGGGGGGCAACGCTGGCTAACCAAAGCCCGAAAGGAAACAGTCCTACGCGTCCCTAGACCCCAGTCGACACAGCAAGTGAGAGAATTCCTGGGGTCGGCAGGGTTCTGTAGGTTATGGATACCCGGATTTGCTGAGTTAGCCAAGCCCCTATACCAGGCAACAAAGGAACGGCAGCCCTTCAATTGGACGGAGGAGGCTGAGCTGGCCTTTCAACAAATCAAAACTGCCTTGTTATCAGCCCCCGCGCTGGGGCTCCCTGATGTCTCCAAGCCCTTCCACTTATACGTGGATGAAAGTAAGGGTGTTGCAAAAGCCGTGTTAACACGTACCTAGGCCCCTGGCAGAGGCCAGTTGCCTATTTGTCAAAAAATTAGATTCAGTGGCTGCTGGCTGGCCACCCTGCCTCCGGATAATTGCGGCGACCGCCCTAATGGTCCGAGACGCTAATAAACTTATCATGGGGCAAGAGTTGTGCGTTATAACCCCACATGCCATTAAAGGCGTCCTCCAGCAGCCGCCGGACCAATGGATGAGTAACGCCCGGCTCACCCACTATCAAGGACTGCTGTTAAACCCCCTCAGAATAACTTTTCTGCCCTCAACCTCTTTAAACCCTGCTTCACTGCTGCCAAATCCAGACTTGGACGCCCCGTCCCATGAGTGCACTGAGATACTGGCTCAGGTGCATGGGGTGTGAGAGGACCTGCAAGATCGTCCACTCCCTGACACAGAACTCATCTGGTTCACTGATGGCAGCAGCTACGTCCACCAAGGCCAGCGGTATGCAGGAGCGGCTGTAACGTCAGAGACT